GATGCTACTTTCATTTGCCCCTATTTTTTAACAAAACTGTCAAGAAGATTAGGCTGTCTCACAAACCTGAGCTGTTCTGAACACAGAACAAGGAGAACATCACTCACTCTGCATCACAAATGAGAAAAGAACTACCAGGATATTAGGTAGCACCATTAATTTGATCAAAAGATTTATGTTCACACACATACTCAGTTCATAATCCCCATACATAGCTGGCAAAGCTGATGTTTAAGGGATGCATCAAAATGTTTCCACTTTACAAGGAAGCACAAGGAGTTCTCCCTTCACTGACACTGTTATTTCACACACAATTGTTCCCACATAAACATTTTGAAGCCTCAAACAAGAGGTTCAGAGCAGCAAATACCAGATGAAAAATTAAACACCAGTGGAGTATTACATCCTTTAGTGCTGCAAGTGAACCTGTCAGCCTGGATTCCCCTTTCTGACTGGCTTCCCTAACCTGTTCAGTACAAGAACAGGCTAATCCCTTTTCACAGCTACATTGTGGAACTTAATAGATTATTTGCACATGCATCAAGAAGTTTGGCTGAGAAGAACTTACAGCAAAAATCTATCTTTTTTAAGCAGCAGGTCATTCCAAAGTGAATTCCAAAGCACATTCCAAAGGAAGCTTCTGGAAAACAAACAACTACCCCAAACAAAACCAAAACTAAAACCAAACCAAACAACTACCCAGAAAACCAAAACAACCAACTAAACCCAACCACCTAGCACACAAATCTTTTTGGACTATACTATAGCCTCACCTAATAGAACAGGTAAACCATGCCATTTCATGTCAATTTTGACAAGTGATAATACACAACTCTGCCATCTCATTTCCACATTTGCTGCTCACTTTTAGATCAAGAGGACTTCTTTCTGACCTAAGACTCTTAAATCCCCAAAAATAAAAGCTCCTGAAGACCACTTAGAACATTGCCATGGATCAACAAGCGCAGCACATCTGAAGTTACTAATCTCAGTAACTCTTTGGACCTGCCATGCTGCAAAATAACAACTTTAGCAGGCATGCTTTAGGCTAAACCTTCCAGATCGAACTTCCAGCATGAGATTTCTTCACAGACAGGATCAGGCAGAAAATTCTACAAATGGAAAGTGTTTAAGAGTTGTGTAAGCAGAGAGAGACTCTATTCACATAGAACTATCTATGGATTTAAATGTCTTTACGTTATCAATGCTTTGCTTAGAATAGAAATCAATAAATTTGTTATCAGATTTTCTTCTGTAGAAACTTATTAGAAGATAGAATTGTTCTGCTACCACCTCCATAAGCCAGAACCAGTCCTAATATACAAGACCACAAGCTACTGCAGTTCCGACCAGCTGGAACAGATTGAAAGAGAGTTGGGACAAGCCTGCCAGTCTCATGCATGGATGAATGAGAGATGCATTAAGGTCCTCTCTTTGTCAATATCCTAAGGCACTCAAGCTTGTCCAACATAAGAGCTTCTCAGTTAACTTAGAAACAGTGCTAGAAAGCTACAGTTTTAAAAATAAACAATTAAAAAAATAACCAAATAAAAACCCAGACAAAAATAAACTCACAAAACCACAGAACAAAACAAACAAACCCAAACCAAAACCCAACCTGAAACCCTGGCCAGAATAGTGGAAAAATAAGTTATAATTCTTCTTCTAATGAACCATTAGGAAGTGTCACTTCTGCATTTCCTCAACTCTCAGTTTGACAACTGAGTACTAATGTATTAATACAGACTTCATACTTAGTCATACAATCACTTCTCTGCCACACTACTGTTCTAGAAAGGCAATCTAAAACTTTAAATATGACCAGACAATCTGATTACTCATAGTTAACATCAACAGAGATTGGAACAACAAAGAGAATTTCTGAAGGCTGTACCTTGATGGGTTTATTAAAATCTCCACCACAGAATGTCTGCAAGGGAACACTGAACTTCCTCCAGCATGGGTTTAAGTTGTTCTTAATCACCTTAAAAGAATACAGCATAATGTCACATGTGATGTGCAAGTCACTAAGAAATGTATCATGAGTGTTTTGCATGGCTCTCTAAGAACAGCCTCAGTCAGTTCAACCCTGACGTGCATGGACAGCCAAGCAAAAAGCTCTTGAAGAAATAAAAGCTTGAAGCTCAGGGCAAAGGTAAGTTTTAGAGCTGTGCCAAGCTAACAGCTCATCACCACTGAAAGGGGAGAAGAGTTCAGCCACTTTGCTCACTCGGTGCATGGTCAGACTCTTCACTGAGCCAATTTCATGCAGTAATCAGGCAGCAAATAGACAATTTGCTGGCAGATCAGTGAGCAGAACCCTTTTTTTAGGATATGAGACAGTTCCGCACTTATAGCTGGTGCAAAGCATGACCAGCAGTGGGACCCCTGCCTTCGTTAGGAGTAAGTTTGCTGATCAACTCACGAAAAACATCAGTGTAGAAACACTACCTCTGATCTGTAGACCAGCTGCCATGTTCCAGCATCACTCTGCTTGTAGAACTCCAAAAATGGATCTGATTTACCCAAGAAATCCTGCAAACGAAAACCCAACAGAAGTAATCAGCCTCCTAAATTTTACTCAGATAGAGGAGAGCTGGCTAATACTTCATAATACACAATCCTTCAAAGCACGAAGTCAAACAAACTATAGCACCTGAACCTGGCAGTTGAGTTTCTAGTTTGACATTGTGGACTTCAATGAAAAATTATGTCTCCCATTTGCTTCATTGTAGCTAAAGGAGCACACGCATTCCTGAAAGCATT